CAAAATTTCCAGCACACACGTTTTCACGTGTAACAATGTTTCTGATATTTGGGTTTATATAAACTTGAATTTTGTGACTCGTAAACCTCGTAGCCACCGATGTCCAGAATATTAGAATTCCACCCACTGCTGACAAAACTGTCATTCCTCTCTTTAAAAGAGAGCGGGTTTGAAGATCAGCACTGAGGAGGAAGGAACGCCGTGGCCTGCCTGTCTATCAGGTTTCACACTTCAAAGACACAGTGCCATACGCAACGAGTGATGAGAGGACGGGGGGGGCAAGGATAGAGCTACCTCGTCAGCCTGCCATTATCACTGCCACCAAAGGATGGACGGCTCGTTTTTTCCCCCATCCATCAACAATGGTTTTGGAAAATATGATCTCTTCCTTTGATTTTTGTCAATGGCTCCAAACATTCTTCTCGCAAGAAAGGAGGCCAGTCTTCTTAGTTTGTTATCTCAATGATGGTCTGTAGATGGCACTGTTGGCTTATAGTACAACTCTGTTTTGAGCCATTCAATGAAGGAGGAGGGGGAGAGGGAGGGAGAGAGAGAGACAGAGAGACAGGGAGATAGAGAGAGGTGGGGGGAGAGAGAGAGAGCAGGGAAGAGTATCTGCTTAAAACTCATCAACTCAGGATCTGAGAAAAAATCTTTCATCATTACTCCAGTGTCATTTGCCAAATATAATCTTGCGACTTCTTATTAATTCAAACTGCAAAAAAAAAAAAAGAATTTAAAAATATATATCACTTTCACAAACAACACTGAGGCTGTGCTCCTTCAGTTAGTGTGATTCAACAGTTCATTATCAAAAAAAATGAAGTGTTTTTTTCCTGTCCTTATTCATCATTTCCTTTTTCTAATTAACAACAACTTCACGGTGATAGAAATAAAAAACATTTATTTCTCAAAAATAAAACAGGAGACTAAGCCCAGCAGATGAGTAAGTCTGGATGTGGCCACAATCTGTGATATTTTCAAACTGGATTTCAGGTGACGTGACAGACTAACGTGCCAGCGTTTCACGCCCTTAACGCTGTTGCCTTTTACCACGGAAAAGCTGTGCGAGTGAGTAAACCTCACGAGTAGTCCGAGCGCCGAAGGAAAAACAACTTCAGAGAGCAGTAACCTGAAATATGAGATAAGAGACTTGTATTCTCATGTTTGACATCACTCAGCGAGTATGAGAGGAAGCCCGTTGTTTACAGTGCACGTCTGTTGATGACGGCGTGAGGGGTAAACGGAGAAATGCCTGGTCTGCCAGCCCCGTGAGGGCCCCACGAGAGTCCAACTGCCGTGATCTATGGCCTGTCTGACTGCTGAGGTCAGAGCAGAGCAGCCCTGGAAGTGGGGAATTAGCAGCCCTTTGCAATTAGAGCCCTGACCACAGGCAAAAAACGCTGTATTGCATCACGGAGCAGAACGCGTCTAGTGTTGGACTATTTCATGCCCAGAACTATAAATATGATTGGATAATTACGGAACTGACAATAAAACAAACTTGTGTCTCGTGTACGGCGGTGTGACAAAAGTATTGTCCCCTCAAGACAATTTTATTTGTTTTAAAGTATTTCCCAGGTGCTGTAGTTTTCGTGATGGATTTTTCACTTCATATTTGTGTGGTGGAATGATTTACCAAGGTGTCACAGTAAGTTTGAAAGTGTCTAAACAGTGGGGTGACAAATGTAATTAAGGAGTTCACAGATATCCAGACAGCATTGAACAAAACATGCAGAGGTTTAAAAAAAAGTTAAAGATTAAAAACAGGTTAAAGTTGTGTGTGAAGACCTTCAGTGACTGAGCCATTAAACCAGACAGTGACTAGAAATCTGTGAGGTTGAAGACCAACGAGAAATACACTTCTACAGCACACACCTCCCAGCAAGACTAGAGAGGTCAAGGGTCAAACTGCGGTAAATTTACACATTCTGAAAGTATTTTGTTTGGTCAGACGGGGGGACGGGAGGACGGGGGGAGGGGAGGGGCAAAACTCTTTGGCTGTGTAGGTGTGGCCCAGTCTTTGAGAATAATGGGAAAGGCAAGAAACCCAACAAACACCATCCCTGCAGTCAAATATATGTAGAGGTGGAAATATAATGTTGTAGAGGTGAGTTAAAATAAAAGCATGAAGAAAGAAGAATATGAGAAAATTCTGGACAAGATATTTAAATATTCAGTATTTAAACAAGTTATCGCTCATTAATTTGTCTTCTGTATAAGGACTAATGAATTATAATGATGGTGTATAAACCCAAGAAGAAATATCAAGTCTCGGACAAATTTGATGGTCTTGAAGGAAATGTACTTACTGTGGGACAAGTAATGTCGTATCTTGTCTCATCCTGTTTATCTCAGCTCCTCGTGACATATTTCAATTATATATGATTTCAACTCATATCTTCTCATTACCCTCTCAAATTATTTTATTTCCAACCCCAGCTTAACTCTTCTCACTTCGAATCCTCCTCACTGATTGTATCTCAACTCATTTCAACTCTCAATATTTTCTCACTCTTCTAAAATGATCTCATCTCTTCCCCTTTACTCCAATACAGCTCAACCCGTCTTATTTCCACTGATCTCACCCAAAGATGTATTAGCATAGGATTCTCACATGAAACCCGTTGAAAACCTACTCCATAAAACTGCAGTCTATTTAACAGCAAAAAGCTCACATAACTGATAAGTAGAATTAAAGGTTGCTTATAATTTAAGCCTAATAACCCTGTGTCCCTATGCAAAAGTAAATACTGCGCGTATATGCAGAAACACTGCGTAAGAAATTCACTGCTCAGCTTCAAACCACTTGGGGAATACGTACGTTAAAAAGAAACATTTTCTCAGGGAAACTAAAAATAACTGTACAGGAGGCAACACAGAGAAGTCAGACCCAGGATAAGAACTGCCCCGGAACAGTTTGAGTGGCCCCTGTCACTGAGGTGTGTGGACATGTACGGACCATGGGGCAGAGTGTCTGCTGAGGAAGGACGTGTCTTCACACTGACCTATACGATGCACCAGCATCTCTTCTTATTTACATCCTGTCATGGGGGTTCGGATCTCAACAATAAACTCTCATGTGGGGTACCAGAAGGAGGGAGGGGGGCATTTTGCTGACAGCAGGTAGAGCTGCTGCTGCTGCTGCAGCAGAAAGTGTCCAGGTGGCTGCATGCAGTCAGGTAGCCAGGCATTGCCAGCGGTGTGTTAAATACACACTCCCTTGCCGCTAACCCATCCGTCAACACCCCTCCCACCCAAACTCCCTCAACCACATCAACGACCAAGGTCTCATACATAATTTGGCATCAAATGAATATTTTGTTCGGTGTCCTGGCAAAGGTTGTATTTGATGAATTATTAATTTCAAAATTATTTTTTTGCATCTGATCTTCTGTCAAATGAGATTAAAAAGGATTTTTTCCCCTTGAGGAGCCGGTAGTTGAAGGGCAACTCATTCCAACTTCATACGTTCAGAGCACAACTTTCACAGACTAATGGAACTGATTCACCGTTTTTCTGAGTGTTGATATGAAAGGACACTGTCTGCACTGGGAAGGTAGAACCAAGAAACAGTCAATGTGACAGACTAAGAGCTCTAACATGGTTAATCTAGAGAGCAACCTCTACATCGGTGCTAAGAACTGTTAGTCTACAACAGGTCAGATGAAGATGAAGCCCGACAAGCAGTAAGTCTTCACGGGGTTCCTACGGCTTCATGTAAGAAACATTTCAGACTTTTTAACACTGTTCAATGACAGTCAGAGTGAAATTAAAGTTTAAATCAATAAATGATGCTGTTGCAAAATCCAGCTTTGGTTTAAATTTACAGTCACCCATCATCATGTGACATTACCACTGGCTATAAACCTGTGTCTGTCCCAACCACAACAACAACAAAAGGGTATCTCGACAGTGGGACATCCCAGTGTTAGGTGGGACTTTCAGTAGTTCTATAAGAGTTTTTAGTAGAGCATGTATTTACTGTATCCGATAGGACATTATGCATTTCTTTTCTCAGAGAAATGTATAGTCTTTATCTTGACATCACTGCATGACAATAACTATTTCAATACAGAAATATCTACTAAATAGAAATATCTATTTACTTCATCAAAACATGAATGAACATGTATTTATACGTCAATATTATATGATGAAAATGTAATTATAATATCATATTTAAGCTCTAAGTCAAATGATTCCCTAATAAGACTGTGGTCGGGAGCTCAATGTAGATGTCAGAGTCATTATGATAAAAACAACAGTTTATGGGTTAATAATGATATAAATAAGACATTTTTCTATAACTGATCAGTAGAATTATGAATTCTGTAATAACACTTGTATATACTCTATAATAATACTATATAAGTGCTTAACTATATACACAGCTAATGCAAATGTTATTATATTAAAATGAAACTTTATTTACTTTCTACTTATCAAACTAGTGTCACCACACCTCACATAAACAAGCTTTGGGGTGTTCCCTCAGAATTTCCTCAGTAATACTTCAAAGACAATGTTACATATTTAGTTTAATGTGTTCAATTTTTAGGATATTGGTGTTGGGCATAATTTAGAGGTGCTGTCTGACTTGGCTCTTTATTAACAGCAACAGACCAGGTAAACACATTAATGCTGAAGATACTGTAATATATTACACCTTACATTTTAGTCTATTTTTTACTTTATTTAAAACATATGAGATTCTAATTTGAAACCTATTGGTTTAGCATGGGGTGACAAATTAGCTCATATAATGAAGAATCTGTTTACAGAGATCAGAAAGAACCAAATGTGCTATGATGTATTAACACAGCAGAACCAGACTGAGTAATTTGGGCTTCATTCTAACACCTGCGCAGTTTCGATTTTCATAAATATACAAAGATAATCAATCAACAATTTAGCAATATAAAAAATTCAAGACACATTTAGCATGATTTTTTTTAAGGTGGCATCAACATTCCACAGTAACCAGGAGTAAAACTTACTTTGACTTGGCGCAGCAGCTCGTACAAGTCTTCAACCTCGTCCCCTTTTGTCTCACTGTAGTTCCTGCCTGTCTCAAGGCTGGTGCCTTGGATGGTGCGTCGGTATAAAGGCAGGTCCATGGCTTCTGCATACAGGTCTATGGCCTGGTGGCCCACAGTCTGGTACATGTAACTGTCCAACTCATCTGCATCATTGATAAAAATAATGTTTATTAGATGACTGGTGGCAAGAACACATGAATTTAAAAAAAATATATAGTTCTTTAGTTCTAACATTTGTTTATGTATAAAAAACACATTTAGCAAACATTTAAACTAGAAAAAGACTGTTGAAAAAGAAGACATAATACAACATCCTGACATTACTTTTAATCATGTTACCCCCGCCCCCTTCCAAAAAAGCTCAGCAAATCAATCGGCTAATTATTGTCTTAAATATAAATTTATAAAACACGTTACCCTACCCAAATAATTTCTTTTTAACTTAAATATCACGAGCTCTTCTATTACAGCCTTGTTTGTGTACTAATGGGTTTGTTTATCTATTTTGTCAATTAAAAAAGTTGTGTTTTTGGTTGTCTACAAAGCCAAAACATTGAGTTTTTATTCAATTTCTGTTGCCCAGGTGAAAATATATGGTAATAACTTTTATAATATCAGTTCATACATCTGTGGTGTCTATTGATAAAGCACGACTCTTGAGTTTCCTGGGTCTGCAGAAGTGCAGCTGGCTGGCCCAAATAGTTCGGCCCAGCCTCTGTGGATCCCAACTAAAAACCCTAGCATCTCATCTTCCTCACCGGTGAGCGCAGGACGCAGGTTGGCCAGAGCTACGATCCGGTGGCCAGCAGCAACACACTGCATCATGTTGTAGCAGCTGTCTTTGCCCCCACTGGAACACAGCATGAGAAATAGGCACAGAGGTGAAGCCGTGTTTAGAGTCATTAGGATGCAGACCTATGCGTTATCGAGGAGTGCACAGTTAGCGATATGGGATTGCGGCGCAACAAAGGAGCAACAGCATTAATTTTCAGCTAAGAACGACCTGCTTGGGACTGTATCTGCAGCTAAAGATGGTCTATTTAAATAGAAGACAGATATGTAGTGTTTACAACATCATGTTTGAGCTTTTATGGAATAACTTTGACAAGCTGTGGTATATTTTAAAGACAGTTGCACAAAACATTCACCTTATCAACGCGACAACTTTCATCTTCTTATTTTCCAGGGACGTCAAGTAACATAAAAAATAATAAACTTCAGTGTGGAAATCACTTGCCGACACTCGGTGAATGTAGTCAACAAAACACACGTGAGTGCTAGACTTCCGGGCTGCTTAAGGACCTTTTCTCTCCATCAGGCTGCCCCTGAAATTGCCTGTTGTAAAATCACTCCGTCGAAGGAAATTTTACAACTAATTTAAATTGTATTAAACTGTGGGCTCAGACGTTTACTTTAATTAAACAGCATCGTAATTTGCTTACTTAAAACATGATTTAAAAAGTCAGTTTGTAAAAAGAAACATATAGAAAATTTAAAGTTCCCTTCCCTGTAATATGAATTAGTTCATGAAATCTAAAAATTTAGAGAAACACAAAACAGGAAAAATGAATAATTAAAGCTTGTTTTGATTACACTTATCGCAAAGTATTGTTTATAAAATCGGTAATATTTAAAACTACAAGGATAAGTCATCTTGTGATTTAAGACAGCTCTGCCATGACAATAAAACTGCAATGTAAAAGAATGAAAACTACTTTTTTTAATATACTATAATCATTTATATTGGGGCTTTTTAATTTATATTTAGTTTAAAAACAACATCGGCTATTGTTAGAATTGCTGTTTTGCAAATATTGCTATAGCTCCTGACTGAATAACAATTAACTATTTTTGACTGATATTGCCATCTTTAAAGGAAAATAGTGTTTCTAATTTTACAATAATATAATATAATGATATTGTGCTTTAAAAAACACCCTCCTTTTCTTTTCTTTCTACTTTAAAACTAACATTTAAGAACAACCAATTTCCATGGTTAAAATCAGCAAAATACAAAATGTAACAAGTGTGTAATGCAGTTAAAGTACATTAATAAGCATACAGTAATAGTAAGTAACACTGTCATGACATTCTTTGCATCTCATGTCTCAAAGAAGAATCTAAAGTCCGTGCAGTAGTATTAACACACACACACACACACACACAGGTTGTGTGTTTCCTGTGAGGGAGCCCTATTTTGCTCAAGGAAAGACTTTGATGCTCCTTTTTGCTCTCTCTGTTGTTGTGCCAGAGCAGAATAATTGCCCTGCTTTCGTGTGCTTCCCTCACCTTCTACCCGTAAGCGGGCTAAAGGCAAGTGAGTTTGTTTGAGTGTACAAAATTGAGAGCGACATCATTTCATCCCATTGCTTTCAACTTTGTTCTCCCCTGTTTTTGTTTTCATCTTCTGTGGATACACGACACAATATAAAACCTGCAAATGAGTGTAATTTGTGTTGAAGTGTATTGCAGTTTGCACTGCCGACATACAGTACGTTTCTGCAGTAAAAATACATAATTTAAAATACATACTGTACAATTTCCTTGCTATTGACACAAATGTTTCATCTATTTCACATTACAATTATTCGTCCTTTATTGAGGCATTATGTATTGAGAATGCATTATTACTGTATTTAATAAAAATAGCAATAAAGCATGTAATATCCTTTCAGTACCTTATTACAAAAATAAACAGCATACAATTCAAGAATAACAAACAAAAACTACAAATTCATTTGTTAAACACATATTTCACACGCTGGATATTTCTTCCGACACAATGAGTGATTCCTCAAACTGTTTCGCTGACACGTTGTTAGAAAAATGGCCTTGCCTTGGCGAGAGCAGGCCACCTCCCCCCGGGCCAGGTTGTCCTTCAGTTTTGTAAACTCATTAATATATCACCTGTGTTTTCCAATTTTGCTGGTCATACTTTATAACGCGGCTCCACCGCCTCTGGTAATTTCCATAAAAACCCAGCCTACAGGAAATGACTAACGCCAACTTTAGTCACTTATCAGTTTTAATTTACGTAGTTTATTGCCCCGACAAATGAAAGAGTGGGTTGTTCTGGTTTTTATTTGTGGCAGCATTTTGCTGACGTTAAAAAAAAAGCATTTTATGTCCATATTGTTGGTGCGATGGGAATAAAAAGTGTTGATGGATAGACCAACTGAGACACAGCCAATGGACATGAATATGAGACGCATAAATATGAAAGCAAGGCAGCAGGGATCTAATGACACCCTTGGCCTTTTCTTAAAAGAGCATGTGCATATGACAGTTGATTTACACAGACATACAAACTAATTTTTGTTGCGCAAGGACACAAAAAGTTTGGCTGTAATGAGAAACTAAGGCCTCAAATCACAGGACGATAAATTGAATGTCACAACAGGGCAGCCAAGGTTGCACGCTGAGTGGCCAGAATACAGCGCAAATACAAATACACACATACACACACACTTCAGGGTCCTTCAGCCACATGACAGAACAAGTACATATGCTTTACTACAACACGGTCAATCATTTTTTCATCTTCTTCAAGAAAAAAATGGGCTTTTTGCTGAAGATCTTCCATAAATAGTTCAAAGGCAGATACACATTTTTACAATAATTATTATGTATAATTTAGTGGACACATCTGGACCTTGGCATTATTACCATTATGACAACATGTAAATTCAAATATATAAATTGGAGGTTTTCATATAGTTTACAAAACCTTTAAAAAGCTGACTCAGATTCAGAAAACCTTACTATTTAAAAAAAGACACTATTACAAAAAACAGCACAAGTAAACCTAAAATTAAATCAAAACAAGGACAACTGTAATAGTAACTATTGAGATAAATTTGTTAATGGTCTCAAAGCAAATATTGCACAAAAATAAAATTGGAATGTTGCATATAAAAGATAAAGAATATCACACATGAATTTTGTCAATATTTAAATGTTACAAATGAGAAAAAAAGTGTTAAAAAAGACCTGCAGTCACATCAAATGATAATACGTGACGGGAAATCACTCTGTGCTCGTTCAGTGCTGCTGTAGCCGTGGTTTGAAAACACTGGGCGTATTTGACTTGCGTTCCAAGGCTTTTTCTTTTTTGGTATAAACAAACTCAATATAATATGATTTAATTCTACACAAAACCTTGGATGAAACAAAACCCAGAGGATCACGTACAGTACAGTACAGCACCGCAAACCCTGTTGCGGTAACATCAAATACCTCTTGTACTGTGTGTTCTTAGGCCCTGTTACGGTTTTACTGCTACAACTCAAACTAAAAGATTAATTTTTCCTGACTTTAAGCAAAACACAAATCAAATTGGACCGTGATTGTAATTCGGATTTATGTTTTAACTAAATTACAACATGACGCAGAGGTACGGGAGCCAAACTGAGCCATTTGCTCTAAACATTAAGGAGATTTCTCCAGACCTGAGCAGGGAATTACATATTTAAATGCAGGCTTTGGGTTTTGTAAAATATATATATATATATACAGTGTAGAGTCAAAACAAAAAGCTCTTATTATGGATGAATTGTAATGAAAGCATATGACAGCCAAATGTTATCTAGTTTAGTGATGGGGTTTTAACGTAGCCTTGTGTATTCTGAGCTCCTCCAGTGTTGCCTCCATCAGGAGCTCATTTTCCAAAGAACTATCAACATAATGATACCTCTTTAGGGCCTAACCACATCCAAATCAGTTAGTAAACAACCCAAACGGGGATCTGTACACATTTTTACAGACAATTAACCGTTATCATGAGGGGCCCAAATGGATTAGTAGGCTCATTAATGTCTCAGGCTAATCGGTCTTTGATTGGAAATGTGAGAGAATGTGAAATAAAGTTGCGGTTTGATCCAAATTGTGTTTGATCACGGCACCGTCCGCAACAATAGGCCCAGTCTGGAGGCAGTAATTGAGTTTTCTTTTTTAACCCCGCTAATGAAAATCTGGCTTTCACTCTTCCCTCCGGCTTCCAAGAAAACATAAAGCATTAAAATGAATGACAAATGTTTCCCCTCATATGTTGCTGCCTTTTAACAATGGGCCTAAGATTGTTTTTGCTGATATCGATAACATTGCCTTTAAAATTAAAAGAAAGACTTGTGTTTAAGTGTTTAAATTATATTTAGTTTATATTTAGTTTTAGGGCAGCAGATGCAGTAGTTTTGTTTTACCCAGAATGTCAGGGGTTCAGAGTGTACATCGTTGGTACTCAAATGGAGGCATGGGGTCCAAACTGTGGGCTGCCTATTTGCAAACACTTAAATGAAGGCTGTTGGTCAGCACATGGAATTGGACTGTGATCCCACAGCAGTTTCACCTGCAGCTGGTATTCCAAGTTGCATTACTGCCACCTAATGGCCTGGCGGCAGTGGTGGCTTAGTGGTTAAGGAAGTGGACTTGGTTCTGGAAGGTTTCAGGTTCAAGTCCACCAACTGCCAAGTTACTACTGAGGTGCTCTGAAAATGGCACTGTCTCCACACACTGTTCCCCGGTTGCTTAAAGCTGCCTCTTTTAAATTTTACAACCTACATCTACAGCATCCTTATCGGTCCTGAACAAGAAAAAAGAAAATAAAGGCAGGGGGCAGCATAACAGCAGATGAACTCATACCCATACATTTCTGTGGTTTGCATTTTTCTAAAGAAATTACTGCATTTCTACATTCAAATGTACGATAGAGAACCTGTTAATAGTAAATGTATTTTAAACTAAATATATAACAGAACTACCTGCACGGCACTAGTGGAAAAATATATTTTTAACAACGTTGGACTTGGAGGATCACCAGCGTTATATAATTTATCCTGAGAGGCAATCCCTTCAATATTTGTCAAGAAATTTCCCTAAAAATTGTCATCCCGCCACCGGCTGTGGAGAAAAAGTCAGGGTTTTTGCTAATGTCAATAGTTTCATTCTCTGAAGGCAATAAATGTCTGCACACAATTTCATGGCAATGCCTACAGGAGCTGCTGAGATTCAGTCTGGACCAAAGTGGTGGATCACTCCGCTGACAAACCCACCACCAGACAGACAGTATGCTATTCATAGAGCCACGCTGCTGGCACGAGAGAAAACCTAGAAATAATGAATGTTGAAACCAGACGTTTGGAGAACAATGCGGCTCAAGAGCACTAAAAATCATTTTTAGCAATAGTTCGAATCAATAACTGTCAATGCGCCATTCAAAAGTCAGTGCATACAAAACCTAAAGCTGGGATGTTTTACATTTAATCACTGCACAAATGAAATTTCCTGAATATTTGTCCTTGATTTTGGGATTGTTTAACTCTGTTTCTGGTATCCTAGAATTCAATTATGGCTTCAGTGGTGGAGCTCTGTGAAGCTACAGCCAAAGGGATGTGGTCCATTAAAGTAAACCACTATTCGAGTCATTATGAAGCAGCCAAACCAAACTGCACGCA